AGTGGTGGATGGCATTCTTGCACTTATGCCCCCCTAAAAAAATAAAAAAATGAATCCATAAACTCTGGCCGTGATGGGGCCTACAAAACATTAGCCAATTCATTTTGCCTACTGTGAAAAGTGGATTGGCTATTTTTTCGTCAATCAAAAAATTTGCGTATGTTGTTAACCTAGGCTCCAAGCGTAAATCATACGCTGTTTAGCTGACGGTCCACCATTATGCCCGAGCACAAAGAGGTACTCCTACGCTTGTTCACTCTTTTTTATTAACTTGAACATCAATGGCCGAAAAGAATCCTGACAAACCTAACACTAAGAAAAAGCATTTTTTCAATGTAGTTAATAAGTGGAGAGAAAGGGCGATAGAATGGAGCTGGCTGAGTGTGTGTTTAGGAGAATCTTTTCGGAGATGACGTGCCCTGAAGGAGCAAAAAAGATCTGAAAACGGATGCTTTGGTCGCAAAGCTCCTGCTGGACAGGTAAGTTATATTTAATTATGTTGTAAGTACTGTATATTTTTTAAATTATGAAACATGCAGCGGGCTGTTCACTGGAGCAGTAGGTAGCACTGCTACCTTGCAGCAATAAGGTTGCGGGTTTGATTCCCGGCCTGGTGTCTTTCTGCATGGAGCTTGCATGTTCTCCCTGAGCATGCGTGGGTCCCCTCCGGGTACTCTGGCTTCCTCCCACAGTCCAAAAACATGACTGTTAGGATAATTGGCTTCTCTAAATTCTCCTTAGGTGTGAGTGTGTGTTTGAATGGCTGATTGTCGTGTTTGTTTCTGTGTTGCCCTGGGATGGACCCCGCCTCTCACCAGTAGATAGACACCAGCACCCTTGCTTGACATGAGAAATAATGGATGGATGGAAACATGCAGCAGCAAGAACACACAAACAAATTGTAGATATGACTTGCTTTGATAATGCCAGCAGAAACTCTTCTTCTTATGGAGATTTCCTGGCACTTTGCAGCCTCTCTAGGTGAAATACTAAATTACTGGTGGAGGCCAGTGGCGGCCGGCCCATAGGGGGCGCTGGGGCACCGCCCTCCCTGATAAGAAGAGAGAAACGTAAAATATATTTTTAGAAATTAACTCATAAATGTCAGTTTTACTCTCTAGACTGTGTACCTATAAGCAAAACAAATTATATAAACTAAATTTTCCTATCTATTTTCATTAATTTGTGGATTTCCACAGACAGACTCCTACCGTCTCTGTTCTGGGGGCTGTGATCAGACTGACCCACATTTGCAGAGAATCTGTCAATCATGTACTATTGCTAGGTGAATTTAATGGCCAATCAGCGTCTCAGAACTTTATGGTCTTGGGGCGCTGAAAATACTGCGCTTTAACAGGCTTCTGAACCCAAGCGCAGGTGCAGACAGTTAGAGGGAAGATGGCGAATGTAACGACCGAGATGCAGCTTCCACCAAATTCGGTGAGATCCTTATTTATCTACCCGTTTGCCAGAAGAACATCCCTGTTGTAGGATATGAACATTTCATGTCATGGTTATTGTGACTGTGACGAATCCACCTCGTCGCTTAAAACAACCTCTCTAACTTTGCGCGCCACACACACATTCCTGTTATACTGTGTTTGTGAGGACCAATACACTCGCGCTGAGACCAGTAGCTCCATGAACGTGAAACACACAAGCTGTTCCTGGTTACCTGCTGGCGTATTGAGGGTGCACACTTAATATTTCAGTGGGGTTAGCCATGTGTGTGTGTGTGTGGGTGTGTGGGTGTGTGTGTGTGTGTACGTGTTTATGCTACGGGGACTTGTCATCTTCAGTCTGGCTGCGTCTTTGCTGGGTTCAAACCCAGTTTGGTGTAATTGAATAAGTCAATGAATCTGTGTAAAAGAATTAAGTTGTAAAAATTATTTGTTTTTGTACATCAATTGTTTGTGGAGGTAATATATGGACAAAACTGATTAATGAGAAGAAATCAGAAATAAGAGAGCCTGATGTGAGGGGCTTAAACTATTTAATGAGGGCTGTGGGAAGAAAAGCGGCAATTTTTGTTTTCTGTTTCTTTGTTACATTGCTGGTAACTGGAGGGAGGCTGAGGCCCAGACAGACGACCAGTGGAATGAATAAAAACAGATTGTGTATTTTTGAACCGATAAAATACTAGGTTAATTTATTGAAAAAGTACAGTTAGCATAACGGTTTACAGAACATTATTCAGACATCTTCCAGCAGCTGCTATTTTTCTGCACGGCAATACAAAAAAAAAAGACACAGAATGGATTCTTGGCCAAACAAAGTTTTAAAATAAATTAATGGAAACTGTTCTGCCATCACAGCCGGTCATAAAAACCAAACTATCCGGCCTCCTGTCTGCAGCACTGTCTGCGCTAAGGATGGGAATTCCCAAGCTAATGGATTGGATTCGTTAGCAAACACTGCCCCCTGTGGTACTTGCATGTTACTATCAGAGGTTGCTGAGGACTGCACAGGAACATCGTTGGTTCCAATTATAGCCCCGGCCTGTATTAGCGTCCAGCCATTATTTACCCCCGCCTCTCACCAGTAGACAGCTGGAGATAGACACCAGCACCCTTGCTTGACATGAGAAATAATGGATGGATGGAAACATGCAGCAGCAAGAACACACAAACAAATTGTAGATATGACTTGCTTTGATAATGCCAGCAGAAACTCTTCTTCTTATGGAGATTTCCTGGCACTTTGCAGCCTCTCTAGGTGAAATACTAAATTACTGGTGGAGGCGTTTCCAGCATAAAGAACTTCTGCGAAGGGGTGGGCACTAACGCCTTCAAAACTAAACAAACAGCCGGTGGATATACACTATATTGCCAAAAGTATTTGCTCACCCATCCAAATTATTGGAATCAGGTGTTCCAATCACTTCCATGGCCACAGGTGTATAAATTCAAGCACCTAGGCATGCAGACTGTTTTTACAAACATTTGTGAAAGAATGGGTCGCTCTCAGGAGCTCAGTGAATTCCAGCGTGGAACTGTGATAGGATGCCACCTGTGCAACAAATCCAGTCGTGAAATTTCCTCGCTCCTAAATATTCCACAGTCAACTGTCAGCTGTATTATAAGAAAATGGAAGTGTTTGGGAACGACAGCAACTCAGCCACGAAGAGGTAGGCCACGTAAACTGACGGAGCGGGGTCAGCGGATGCTGACGCGCATAGTGCGAAGAGGTCGCCAACTTTCTGCAGAGTCAATCACTACAGACCTCCAAACTTCATGTAGCTCAAGAACAGTGCGCAGAGAGCTTCATGGAATGGGTTTCCATGGGCGAGCAGCTGCATCCAAGCCATACATCACCAAGTGCAATGCAAAGCGTCGGATGCGGTGGTGCAAAGCACGCCGCCACTGGACTCTAGAGCAGTGGAGACGCGTTCTCTGGAGTGACGAATCGCGCTTCTCCATCTGGCAATCTGATGGACGGGTCTGGGTTTGGCGGTTGCCAGGAGAACGGTACTTGTCTGACTGCATTGTGCCAAGTGTAAAGTTTGGTGGAGGGGGGATTATGGTGTGGGGTTGTTTTTCAGGAGCTGGGCTTGGCCCCTTAGTTCCAGTGAAAGGAACTCTGAATGCTTCAGCATACCAAGACATTTTGGACAATTCCATGCTCCCAACTTTGTGGGAACAGTTTGGAGCTGGCCCCTTCCTCTTCCAACATGACTGTGCACCAGTGCACAAAGCAAGGTCCATAAAGACATGGATGACAGAGTCTGGTGTGGATGAACTTGACTGGCCTGCACAGAGTCCTGACCTCAACCCGATAGAACACCTTTGGGATGAATTAGAGCGGAGACTGAGAGCCAGGCCTTCTCGTCCAACATCAGTGTGCGACCTCACAAATGCGCTTCTGGAAGAATGGTCAAAAATTCCCATAAACACACTCCTAAACCTTGTGGACAGCCTTCCCAGAAGAGTTGAAGCTGTTCTAGCTGCAAAGGGTGGACCGACGTCATATTGAACCCTATGGATTAGGAACGGGATGTCACTTAAGCTCATATGTGAGTCAAGGCAGGTGAGCAAATACTTTTGGCAATATAGTGTATCTTCCATCACAGAATCCTCTTTCCTACCTTTAAATTTAGGATGGATTTGATAGATATTCAGAAGCGACTTGCTTTCCGCTGAAATCAGACACCAATGGCAACTCCACAGCAGGTGAAAAAAGTAAAAAAACAAAGAAACTTGTAAAGCACGAGTGTGAAGTAAGCGACCGAGCTGAAGAGTGCTACAGTTCTGTGCTTTGGCCACAGGTGGCAGTATCATTAGAAAACTATGATGTTTGTTTAAAGGTGGGATTTTTGTAAACTGAAATATTCTTGGTAATCTTAGCTGACCTAAAAAATACGCAATTTAATGCAACAAAAAACAAAATAAGTTATTATTTATTACTTATTTATGGTGTATTTACATGTCTAAATTAAACTGATTTTTTAGATCTTTGAAAATACTGAATAAAAAAAGTGTTATTCCTTGGAAAAAGCTGTAAAAAATTCCTTGGGAGAAAGATAAGCTTCCAAAAACAGTGAAAGAGCTGCCCGGTGATGAACGTTTAATTAGAAGCTGAAAGAAATAATCCACTGTTGTTTTGTATGGTGCTGTATGTTATTGAAAGATTATGAGCTGTGACTATTAGGATAGGAATTTCCTCAGTCTTGATCCAGTAAGTAACCCAGACATTTTTCAGTGGAATTTAATCGTTCCATGTCTATCAAGTCTTCCTAAGAACTTTCAAAGAAAAACACATTCTTTCAGAACAGCCCATAAGAGACAAATTATCCATCACCATCTATATCTTATTCCTGATTTAATAAACTCTTGGAACTTTTAAAAAATATTAAATTTTTGCAGGAGAAATACTTTCTCAAATCGCGATTTCCAATTACGATGTGAAATGTATAAATGCCTGAGAAATCTGATGTATTCATAAATATTTTTATTTATTTTTTTGTTGAGAAGATTGATTCAAATAGCTGGAAGTCTTCCTACCTCTCCTTTGGTGCCGACCAGATGCTTGCAGGCTGCACAGGTAAAAAACAGCGAGTAAAGCCCACCACCTTCGTGCCATGCCCATGATCCTCACTCACAAATCCGTTCACAAAAATCGACACCTACTCTTCACCTGTCAAGCTCTCCGCAATCAGCGTCATAAAGGATCATGACAAAAATAATCCCTCCTTACCACGTACATGTAAAGGCTTTTATGTTTTCTCCTCCCTCGGTCCAATCTTTCACTCTCTCCCTGATTTTGGGTGTGTGTGTGTTCCCCGTTTAGGCCTGGGCTCCCATCTGGAATCCATCAGGATTTGTGAGAATGCTTGCCCGACTGGCTGAACTTCTCTCACAGCCACTGGAAAGCTGCCTTCAGTTACTGGGTTTTCTTTTTCTTTTTTTAACTCCAACAGACTGAAAACAAGTGAATGCATCACTAGAAGACTGAGGGAGATGTTATATTTCCAGAGAAATAATACCAACATGATTACTCTGGAAATCATAAGTGATGATTTCTGCCAGACAAAAGACAACAGTCCAGTTTCTGCACCTGGAAACATGAACCTTCATGGAACATCAACAATAAAACTGTTAGAATCCAACTGAATTAACCTGGAATTAATAGATGCTATATTACTTTCAATTGAACACACTTAATAGAGTTAAGAAAGTTTTTTTTTTTCCAAATTTGATTCATTTATTTTTGTTGGACGGTGGGAGCAATCTCAAAACCTGTCCTTAATAATGCCATATGACTGACCACATTTTTTAGGTTCTGTTTTATTGCCTGCACCAAGGTTTGCTATCAGATGTGCATAATCCAGACAGTTCTCAAATAGAAACAGGCTTAAATTTTAAGGCAACCGGACTCCCGCTCAGTCCTTTTGAAGCCATTTTAACACCCAGCCAGGAGTGCTGAGGTATTTCAGAAGCATGGAAGACCAACCTCCTGCATACACTCAAAGTCAGACGCTAATCAAATAGCCACCCTTTGTTCTATTTGATTGTTTATCTTTTAAATTATAATGGCTTATGTAACTTCTTTGGAATAAGTCCATGATTAGATCATAAACGCTAGGAAGCTGAAACCACAATCCTCCGCCCTTTGTGCAGTGATGGTTTTTCTGTTTTGACAAAGATGGCCTCCTTGATGCCTCTTTCAAGCCATCTGTCTTCTTTGTCCAAAATCAGAACAATTTGGTCTTCAAAGTTGTGTCCTCATTTTTTTGAGATGTACAGCTGAATCTTGCCCAGAGCTGTTGGCTCTCTCTTGCTGTATCATGTGTTTTCCAATGTAGAGGTTGTACAGTCCTCACTGCACTGGTAGGCATGCACAACGCCGCTCGGCTTAGGTTTGGGCGTTCGGTCTTTAGGATGAACTACTTTTTGTCTGAGTGCGTTGTTGGGCTTGAAATTCATTGGTATAGGCTGTGTTTGGAGAAAATCTTTCTGAGTCTCTCAAAAAAGTATATTTTCCCAGAAGTAGCATGTTATCACCAAGGGATTAATCTTACGTATAAAACTGTACGTGGAATTTCTAACTTCTGATTCTGACTTTTTGACAAGTTGTCATTGCCCTGAAGTGGAATGAGTGCAAACATCTTTTCTTTAATGGCTTTGTTGATTTCTGCCACATTGAACAGGTAGCACACCGTCATTAAAAGTTCAACTCTAATATGTTTCTGATCTTGGTAATCATCAACATAGTTTTTGAAAAATGTTTAGTTTGCTTGTGTTTACTTTGGTCATCAGAAGCAGACTTGAAAACTCTCAAGAATGTTTTTTTTTTCCCCAGGTCTTTTGTCTTACCATAAACCATGAACACTGGCATTATTTGAAATAAGTGAGCTGTGATGGGCTTCAGATGTTTCTGTATTTTTCCTGGATGAGTTTTCAACTCACTCTGTTTTTCATGGCTAGTAAATTACACCACTATTCGGTGAAATCTCCATTAGTGGATATGAGCTCTATGATGTCTCTGGACCTTTCTTTACTGTTCCATGTTAATGGGTTTGTTTATCACCTCTTCTAGAATTTCTTTAGATCAGTGAAATATTTGCTTTTTAAGGTATTTTACCTTCCTTCGTGTTGTCAGACAGGCCCTTATTTGATCTGTTGACTAATTCTACCAAATCTTTCTCTTTTAATCCATGATTCAACATGTGGCACCATTAGATTTTGATATATGGCCATGGTGGTTAGGACAGTTTTTGTACAATTAGCTAATCTGAGTATATCAAGATGCTAACAACTAAATGCTTTACCATATTCACTTCCAATAATTTCTTTATATTATGCAGCTGAAATTAAACATTTTTAGTAAAATTTTAATTCTTTTGAAACCATTGCTCTGTTTATACGTTGAGTCTTACCGTAAATCCTCTAATATAGGCCAGGGCCTTTATTTCACTCAGGTGCATCTTGGTCCAGGCCATTATTGGAAGGAGGCCAGAATTAGAGGCAGGCCTCTATTTTTATTTGATCAAAACAGACGACCAGTGGAATGAATAAAAACAGATTGTGTATCTTTGAACCGATAAAATACTAGGTTAATTTATTGAAAAAGTACAGTTAGCATAACGGTTTACAGAACATTATTCAGACATCTTCCAGCAGCTGCTATTTTTCTGCACGGCAATACAAAAAAAAAAGACACAGAATGGATTCTTGGCCAAACAAAGTTTTAAAATAAATTAATGGAAACTGTTCTGCCATCACAGCCGGTCATAAAAACCAAACTATCCGGCCTCCTGTCTGCAGCACTGTCTGCGCTAAGGATGGGAATTCCCAAGCTAATGGATTGGATTCGTTAGCAAACACTGCCCCCCTGTGGTACTTGCATGTTACTATCAGAGGTTGCTGAGGACTGCACAGGAACATCGTTGGTTCCAATTATAGCCCCGGCCTGTATTAGCGTCCAGCCATTAGTTACCCCCGCCGACAGCAAAACCAGCCATTATTAGAGACCCGGCTGCTAATGGAATACAGGCCAATATTAGAGGATTTACGGTATACCCATTTCTTTGAGAATTGATCTCAATGGACATCTTCCATCCATTCCGCCATGCTTATCCCTGCAGGGGTTTGCGAGGGGTGCTGGTGCCAGGGACGAGAGGCGGGGTACACCCCGGACAGGTCGCAAGTCTATCGCAGGGCAATACAGAGACAAACAGGACAAACAACCATTCACATACATACTTACACCTAAGGAGAATTGAGAGAAGCAAATTAACCTTAAAGTGAATGTTTTTGGACTGTGGGAGGAGTACCCGGAGAGTACCCACGCATGCTAAGGGAGAAAAAGCAAACTCCATGCTGAAAGACCCCGGGCCGGAAAACTAATTCAGAACCTTATTTTGGCAAGGCAGCAGTTCAACCTACCGTGCCACTGTGCAGCCTCAATTGACAGCTTAACTTCCAACAATTTAAGTTTGTTTTAATTTGAGTTTAGTTTATCTGATCAATGTTTTTCCCTTGAATTTAATATCTGCAATTTTCTTTCTCTAAATCTATTGCACAGAAAACAACAACATCCATACAGAGAGACTGGGGAACGAGCAATTCAACTTTCATTTTAAAGTAAGGACCATTTAAAGCATCTTGATTAAAGGCTGTCAAGATCCTATTCACTCCTCCACAGGCAGTTTCCTTTTTTGTTGTCACTGAATATGTGCAATAAATACATAGCTGTTTTTTTCCTGGTGCTAAAGCAGATAATAGCCTGTGTAGGTGTTCTCGATTTCAATTTTACCAGCTGTTCTCTCTAGGCTGCAGGATTTAGAAACAGAAAAATACTTATGCTGACATGTCAAGAAGAATTGAATAAAAAGTAAGTCACTGATTGGTGTTTGAAGGCAAAAGGGGGGCAATAATGCATCAGTTTAAGAAAGTATGATGTCCTACTTGTAATTTACTTCCTTATTTTCAGTCTCAATGTAAATGAATTAGCAACATCCCCTTCAAATAGCATGAGGGAATATTATGTTCTGGTCCAAAGCTTGATTGATGGCTGAATCTTGCCCTACTATTTCCTTTGTATTTGTCAGTTTAATGGTGACATCATGTTTCCCTTGAAACAAGCTGCTCCATCATGCATGACATCACCAAATTTTCTCTGGCTATTTTGACTCATCTCTTCATTCATGGCCGCGCTTGTAGCGGATTTGATATAGAAGTCTGAGGAGTTGCTCCATATATTGATTATATCAGGTTGCTTCACTGTTGGAATCACAGGGATTTTCCAGATGCCGTCATATTCATACATATCTTTTCTTCTCCGTTCACACATTTTCAATGGAATTATGCTTTAAATCTATGCTTCACAAAAAAAGAAAAAAAAAAATGCGCTTAGGTCCAAGTCCCCAAGCCAGTCATGGAAAGCTACCATCCTGCAACTTCTAGATGTCCATCCTCCAACGTACCTTTTCAGCCATTAGATTGAGGTGTGTTGGAGAGGAGATGTATCTAAAGGGCAAAATGGTAAAACTGAAAGACTGGACTTGGGTACCTAAGGTTCGGGTCAGTGTGCCATTGCTTGTGCCCACGTTTTAACCGGCATATTGACATCTGCCATGGAGGATCAGGAGAAAAAGTAAAAAGATAAAAAGCTATTTTAAATGTATTATTTAAATCCTGAAATAAGAAATCCAATTTAAAAAGCATTTTTCTCATTGTGCATTTTAAATTTAGTTATTAAAGAGGAATTTTAAATTGCATCTACTAATCCTTTATTAATGGAAAATCTATTGGAAAATTGAAAATTGAAATCTAAATAAGTAATTTTTCCTTAAAATAAGCGCATTTTTTCTTGGATTGAGGAGGTAAGTGAGACACTTTGCCAATGGAACAAGACAATTTACATTTAGAATAAGAAAGGAACAATTGCATCATCTCATTTCAAGTGCATATTAGCTAATTATCTTATTTTAAGAGTAGAAATACTCATTCCATTGGCAAATCATCTATTTTACCTGCTCAAATTAAGGGTAAACACACTTCATGCAACACATTTTTCCTTAATTTCTAGATCGTTTTGACAGTGTAGGGCCACTAAAAATTTTTAAAAAGGATTTTTTTATATTTTATTTCAGTATAATATGGGGAAAAATCTGAATTCTCACTTTAAACTCAGAATTCTGACGTTTTGTCAAAAAAAGGGGCAGATGGACCAAGTCACTGACACTCTGGAGGGAGAAACACAGGTAAGTGACCATGATCATGACCAGGTCATTTACCTGGTTTAACAGATCAGTCCATGCTGGTCTGGGAAAACAGA